ATTTCCCCTTCTCTGTTTTGTGCATGTTACATGATTTTATAATCATTTTGTATCTGGCTTCCATCTCCCAAGACATGGTAAGCCTTTTGAGGATCAGGACTGAGTGATTCATCCCTGTGTCCCAACCACTCACAGAAGTCAGGGATGAACCCTTGACTACTTGTCAAATTCAGACTACTCAGGAGCTAGGGTTATAGCTCAGTGATAAGAGAGCATGCTTAGCACGTGCAAGGCCCTGGGTTTGATGCCCTGCACCCGCTTGTGCGCGCGCGTGCACACACACACACACAAAACCATTATACATAAAAGTCATTAAATGTGTTTTAAAAGTGCTCCTATAGTCAGAGGCTCACTCCTGTAATCCCACCAGTTTGGGAGGTTGAGACAGGAGGATTGTGAGTTCAAAGCCAGCCTCAACAACTTAGCAAGGCCGTAAAGCAACCTAGCAAGACCCTGACTCTAAATAAAATGTAATTTAAAATTGGTGGGGGGAGGCTGAGAATGTGGATCAGTAGTTAAATACCCCTGGGTTCAATCCCTGGTACAACAACAAAACAACAACAACAACAAAAAACTGCTCCTATATGAACATTTTTCATGGAACCCATTCAACAAAGATTTCAAAGCACATCCTATATTAACAGAACAGGTGCTACACCCAGCCAGGATAGCTCTCAATCAAGCAGGAATAACTGATTGACGCAGCACATCACTAGAACAGTTCAGTACAGTCATGTGTATATTATTTGGAGAGCACTCAGCAATTGCTGGGTGGAGAGGTCAAGAAGAGTCTCCTAGATGGGGCTGAGGTTGTGGCTCAGTGGTAGAGTGCTTGCCTAGCACATGCAAGGCCCTGGGTTCGATCCTTAGCACCACATAAAAATAAAGGTATTGTATCCAACTACAACTAAAAAAATATTAAAGAAGAGTCTCCTAGAAAAAAAGATTTAAATCTGAGATTAATTTTTTTTAGAGAGTTTTTAATATTTTTCGGCAGACACAACATCTTTGTATGTGGTGCTGAGGATCGAACCCGCACGCATGCCAGGTGAGTGCGCTACCACTTGAGCCACATCCCCAGCCCCTGAGATTAATCTTTAAGAGCAATCAGGCAGTCACATTGGCTAAGGAAGCTTGTGGATGCCCTGCCCCTGCGGAGGAGGAGGAAGAAGGATGGCGTGGATTGGTCAAATGCAAGGATACTGAACTAAGCCACAGTCCTGGGGGTGGAACCTAGAATGTTAGGCAAAGGATCGGCTCCAGTTTGGGGATGGCTCCTGTCTTTCTTCTCTCTCGGACATGCAAGGTAAGATGGGGACCTGGGTTTTTTCCTATTGGGAAAGAGGTACATTTTCCTTCTCCCCACTCCCTTCACCTTACAGCGCCAAGCAAGAACCAGAGGGAGCTCAAAGAGAAAGGAACCAGGACTCAGCACTGCATGGGTCCAGTGTAGCAGCACCCAGTGGTTAGGACTTCACAAGATTTCTTTGCCTCCCACATCTGCTGTACAAATACTGCCCCATGAATTCCCCAGAGTGGTAGGGGGCCAGTGGGTGGCACAGGAATTTGCTTCAGCCATAAGGGCATCAAATCAGTGGAGGGAATAACCAAAATAGTTCCTGGAAAAAGAAGAGAGGAATTTTAGGCAGAGTGAATAGCATAAAACAGAGTGAGAAACACCTGTAGTTGGAACACTACAAAGGAGCTTTACGCCACACTGTGTGAGACCGCAGGACAGTCTCATATAAAAATGATCGGCTCAACCCACAAGCACTCGTGTGTCAGCCAACTGCTTACATGGCTGTGGTGCTTACTTCACATCAAGCATGGATCTGCACAAATTAACTCATAATCCGAGACACTGAAATAACCTGCCTGAGACCCCACAGTAAGAAACCTGATGCTCAAAGGGGTCAAATAAATGGCAGATCTGTCCTCTTTCAACAACTTTGTGAACTCCGCCGAAGCCATGGCACCTACAAGGAGAAAGGATCTGTTGCCCTGGACTTACCATGAGGTGGTACTGGAGCTGAGTCCTGACAGACAAAGGAGCAGGGCCAGCCAAGATTAAATTGTGGGCCTCCAGGGCTCCTGGAGAGTGCTTTGGGAAAAGAGAAGTCCAGCAAAAAGAACCACCGAGAGGGCACTCAGTGCCTCCCAGCAAGTCTAATCCTGCTGCACAGCATCCAAAAACAGAGCTGAGCAAGCGACTGCTGCCCACAGTACAGGACCTGGCTCCTCACCTTTTCCTCTCATATCAAAAGTTGGCTGTGATTCAGTTTCCTGGGTCAGGTTTATTAAAGTAAATACACATGTCATAAAATAAGATTCAGCGTTGCATTAAGGCTGAGGTGAGGTTATGTCTTTCTAGAAATGATTTGGTGTTGGCTGGGGAAGATAGGGGAACATTAATTCTTTTTAAATATTTTAGTTATAAATGAACACAATACCTTTATTTTATTTTTATTTGGTACTGAGGATCAAACCCAGTGCTTCACATGCTTAGACAAGTGCTCTACCAATGAGCTACAACCCCAGCCCCAATAATTATTTTAAGTAGTATTTGTAAGGCACTCTTGGCCCCACCAAATTAATATTTCATTAAGAGTATTCGCTTTCTTAATTTTTCAGATGAGGAAACTGAAAGGAGCTGGGACACAAGCCCAGATATTCACACTCCGAATTCTATATTCACTCATTTTTTTATCCTTTTATTCATAAACTGCCCCAAAAGTGCCAGGCACAGGACTCTGCACTGAATACCTATGATGATAATAGACATAGCTCATCTCCTCACTCTTCTTCCCTGGGTGCACCAAATGCCACAGTCCGGCTGCAGCAAAATAAACGGGGGTGGGGGGGGGGTGTGACAAGCAACTTGTGTACATTGATACAGCAGGAGTGGGAGCCATTTATTGTAGGACAGGAGGGGTATATATACATTCCACACAGCTTATCTTAATTAACAAAAACTAGATACAGCAGTCAATAAGGAATCTCCACACTTAATAGCTCGCTGGCGTTACTTCACAACCACTCCCTCTGGCAAAATGCCAGGCGCCATCTTGACTTGTTTACAGACTCTAACAACCAAACACTGAAGCAGGACTGGGTGAAGAACAATACCTGTAGCTAGCGTTTCTGGCTGGGCAGTTAGATCTCTGACATATCTATGAGGGTCTCCCACTTGGACCAGAGAATGAGAAGGTGTTGAGTAGGCAAGAGCTCCAGGTGGTCAGTCCAGGTAGGCAAACAGCAAGAAAAAGCTTCAGGGTAGGAAGAGGCTTGGCTGCTGGAGGCTGCAATATAGCTGATGGTCAGGGCAGATGGCACCCAGGGAAGATGGGGGAAAGATATAAGGAATGGCATGAACATCTGCACAGTTCAGAGACCTCTCATCTGCAGCAGAGGAGGGTTAGGCTGAAGGGAGAAAGTGGTAGGAGAGATCATGCAGGAGGCTATGTCATCGCAGCAGGAGATGCCGGGGTGCATTGGCCTGTTGAAAGGGGGAATGGAAAGACATAGGTTGATGAAATACAAGTTAGAAGTGACTGGGCTTAGTGCAGAAATGAGGGAAAGGTGGGAGTCCATTGAGGTTTTTGGCTTGAATGACATGGTAAAGGAGATCATGCTGAACAAAGGTGAAAAGCTTATCTAAGACAGCCTTGGAAACCTCCTACTACTGAAGGTCACCAGATAGGGAACTGAGAGCAAAGGAAGTGAGACGTGGTCAAAGATGAAGGGGAAAAGTCAGGAGAGTGTAAATCTGAAACAGGAGTGTTTTTTTAAGAAGGGAGTGTCGGGGAGAGAAGGAGAGGGAAAGGGGAGGTACTGGAGAACAAATTGGCCAAATTGTTATACTGTGTGCATGTACAAATATGTAATGAATTCCACAATTATGTAAAATTGCAGTGCTCTAATAAAAAAAAAAAGGAAATGGCAATGCCCCATGCATGGCAGAACTCAGTGTCAAAGTTTAACAGGACATAATTAAAAATGGGATTTGTCTTGTGAGGTCTTTAGGAAGTCCCCACCTGAGGCACACTGGGCAGGCTACATGTAGGGGACAGCAAGTAATACCCTAAGTAGAAACAGAAACAGGTGAGACTGGGGGCTGACAAAAGGTCATATTGGATATTGGTATCATCCAGTGGCTACTTGGTGCTCATTTAATGCTCACAACAACCCCACAGGATCGGAACTTACTGTTAGATGAGAACACTCAGACCCAGAGATCTGAATTGCCTTGTTCAGATGATACAGTTCTAAGTTGGGAAGCCAGGATTCTGTCTGCTTCAGAGCTGTGGCCTCATACTTTCTTGACTGGCCCCAATACGGGGAATATAATAAAAGATCCAGGCAAAACAGGTATGGGGAGGAGGGAACAAACATGAGAGAGGTGTAGGATGCACAATCAACAGGATGTGGGGAGTGGATGTAAGCTGAGAGCAGAGGGGAGAGTCAGGACTTCTGGTAGAAGCAGCTCAACTGACTTGAGGATACAGATTCACCACAAAATGGAGATTGACTTTGGACATGATGAGTCTGCTGGGCCTGGATGACTTCCAGGATGAGCCCGAGCAATGAGATACACAGAGGTGCAGGTCAGAAGAAAGTTCTGGACTGTAAGAGACCTGAGATACCTCAGTGTAATATTGAATTTTGGTTTCTTTTTATATCTTAGCAGAGCGTTAAAAATAGGTTCCGCTTGCCTGTAATCCTAGCAACCCAGGACGCCAAAGCAGAGGATCCCAAGTTCAAGGCCAGCCTCAGCAATTCAGTGAGACCCTGTTTTCAGAATAAAAACTAAAAATAAATTTTAAAAAATTTAAAAGACCAGGAATGTAACTCAGTGGTAAAGCGCCTCTTGGTTCAATTCCCAGTACCAAAAGAAAAAAGAAAGGGCTGGGGCTCTGTGCTGGGAGAAACACGATAGCATAAGCGTGACATCCCCCTGATGTCGAAGAACCCCGCTCATCTCTGACTTGGTATCCCCACAGATGGCTTTTCCCTGCCGAAGGTCCATGAATCCCAAGACTCTGGCCTGCATTCTGGTGGGCATGAGTTTCTTGGCACTTCGCCTCTGGCTCCTCCAAGCCCCGAGGTCCCAGCAGGAACAGAAGGGGGAGGGCCCCACGGACGCTAGCGACACTCCCTATACTGCGGAACAGCCCGCTGCGCTCCAGCTCCACCGGGGGCTCCCGTGCGTGGCCAATGCCTCCGCGAACCGCACGGAAGACTTCGAGCAGCTGCCGGCAAGGATCCAAGACTTTCTGCGGTACCGCCACTGCCGCCACTTCCCACTCCTCTGGGACGCGCCAGCCAAGTGCGCGGGCCGCCACGGCGTCTTCCTGCTCCTGGCGGTGAAGTCGTCGCCCGCGAACTATGAGCGGCGTGAGCTCATCCGTCGCACGTGGGGACAGGAACGCAGATACAGAGGGCAGCAAGTGCGCCGCCTCTTCCTGCTGGGGACCCCAGCGCGGGAGGAGGCGGCGCAGGCGCCGCAGCTCGCCGAGCTGGTGCGCCTAGAGGCGCGCGAGCACCGCGACGTGCTGCAGTGGGCCTTCGCCGACACCTTCCTCAACCTCACGCTCAAGCACGTGCACCTGCTTGACTGGCTGGCGGCGCGCTGCCCGCAGGCCCGCTTCCTGCTCAGCGGCGACGACGACGTCTTTGTGCACACAGCCAACGTGCTTAGCTTCCTAGAGACACAGTCGCCCGACCGCCACCTTTTCGCCGGGCAGCTCATGGACGGCTCCGTGCCCATCCGGGACAGTTGGAACAAGTACTTTGTGCCCCCACAGCTCTTCCCTGGGAAGGCCTACCCAGTGTACTGCAGTGGCGGCGGCTTTGTCCTGTCCCGCCACACGGCCCGGACCCTGCGCACGGCGGCTCGCCACACCCCTCTCTTCCCCATAGACGACGCCTACATGGGCATGTGCCTGCAGCGCGCTGGCCTACAGCCTAGTGGCCACSAGGGCATCCGGCCCTTTGGCGTGCATCTGCCCGGCGCCCAGAAGCCCTCCTTTGACCCCTGCATGTACCGTGAGCTGCTGCTAGTGCACCGCTTCGCGCCCTATGAGATGCTGCTCATGTGGAAGGCACTTCACAACCCGGCGCTGAGCTGTGGCCAGGGGCACAGGGTTTCCTCAGGCTGAATAGGCTGCGCTGCTCTGGGTTGATGAGTGGCCTCAGCCGCCAGGGCCTCCCCGTGTATGATGAGAATGCGTCTTCCCTGCTCTGATACATTGCCCTGCCCAGCTGGTGCATCTGAATCCCACCTTCACCTTGAAACCACCGCAGGAGAAGGGTCTGGAATATTCTCCTGGCCCCATCTTCAGGGCTTCTGATCTTATTGGTCTGTAGTGGCCCCAAACATGTACGTGGTGGTTTTGGTTGGGTTCCTTGGGTGGTTCTAAGGTGCAGCTTAGATTGAGGACCGCTGGGTCTGGGATGTCTGTGTACCCTCCCAAGCCCAGCACCATTGCTCCTCCGCGAGCCTTCCAGCATACCTCGCTCCCACGTTCTGCTCGTCATGAACAATGGAATAAGGGAGGTGTGGGGGCCAGGATCAATTTCACCTGTCACGTGCGATACAAATATTTGTTGAGTTTCCTTCTCAAATGAGTCAAAACCGAGCTAGACTGACAATCATCAGATGGCTGCCCTCTCCCAGAAGCCACTTTACATTTGGAACTGAGGAGCATTAATAGCATTCCTGCCAGTATACCTCAGTACCATGAGAGGTCAAAAAAGGCCTCACGGTGCAAAATGGAAACTGAGACCCAGTCAGGACAGGAGGAAAAAGCGCTATCTAGGCGACCTTTCCCCCAGCCCTGATCATGGACCCCCAGTAGCCACAGCAAACTTGACCTTTGCTGGCCTTGCTTATAAGCAGGTCATAGCAAGTACTTCCTGAGTGCTTTAGGGATGAAGGAATGAGCAAATGAGTACCCTTTTGTTCTAGCGGTGTGAACTGTATCTGTGAGAACGCTGTGTTGGCTTCCTGTTGCTGCTGTAGCAAATTCCCACAAACTTGACAGCTTGAAGTCACCCCCATTTATAATAGTATGTTCTATCATCCAACACTGGTTTCACTAGGCTAAAATCAGGGTGTTGGTAGGACAGCATTTCCTTCTGGATGCTGTAGGGGAGAACACATAAGATAAGGGGAAAGTACAATAAATTTGACTAATATAGCATTTAGAATTTCTGTTTATCAAAAGATGCCATAAATCAGGCATGGTGGTGCACACCTGTAATCCCAGCAAATTGGAGACTAGTTTGAGGCCAGCCTCAGCAATTTAGCAAGGTCCTAAGCAACTAGAGAAACCCTGTCTCAAAATAAAAAAATAAAAAAGGACTGTGGCTGTAGTTCAGTGGTAGAGCACTCGTGGGTTCAATCCCTAGTACAAAAAAAAAAAAAAAAAGGATGCCATAAGAGAAGCTGGGTGCAGTGGTGCACACCTGTAATCCCAGCCCCTCAGGAGACTGCAGGAGGATGGCAAGTCATGGCCAGCCTGGGCAACTCAGCCCAGACACAGCCTCCAAACAAATAAAAAGGGCCTGGGGATAAGGCTCAGTGAAAGGGCACCCCTAGGTTCTATCCCCAGTACCAAAAACTACAACAAACAAACAAAAAATAGCAATGTTATGTCTCTGTACTTTGTTTCTGTAGCCAAATCTTTCTCTAACTCTTCTGCCTTCTCCTTCACTCCCCTCCTCCTGGTGCTGGATATCAAACCCACGTCCTGGAGCATGCTAGGCAAATTCTCTATTTCTTCCACTTGTGAGGACACAATGATTACACAGGAACCACCTGAATGGCCCAGGATTCCCTTCCTATTTTAGAGCCAGTTGATTAGCAACCTTTGCTCCATCAATAACCTCCCTTCCCTTTGCCATGTAACCTAATACACTCAGGTTTCAGGGACTAGGGTGAGGACATCAAGGGAACCATTATTCTACCTACCATTGTGCCCAATAAATATTTATGGAATAAATGAACCATAATGAAAAAATGAGCAAAAAAAAATGAGTAAAAGATGTATTGTACTTCCTTCTCATAGACCTCTCTGATGCAGACTCTCATTTTGGACAACTGTGTCATTAATCTTGAATTCCCTGCCCCAGATGCCATTTGCCCAGTACTTAAAAGAGACAGGAAAACAAGAAGACAGAAGGCATAAGTATCTTCTGGAAAATGAATTCTGTTTCCACAATATCCTCCCATTTCCCTGACCTGTGAGGGATTATCCCCATCTTACCGGAAAAAATTCAGATTCAGTAACTTCATGGCTTAGGTGTGTCCGAAAACTGCAGTTATGGGTCTGCTGTGTGATTCTGGGTCCTGGTCAGTCTGTCTCTGTAGGTGGGTCGCTAGAGTGGTCCGGGGTGGTCCGAGTGCTGGGATGGCCACGCGGCCGTAGAATCCTGGCATCGCCTACAGCCACTTGGCAATGAGGGGCATTTGGTGCCACCACACTGCACATACTGCCCGGCTCCCTGAGCTCATGCGACAAGATACCGCCAGGGGGCGCGACCCACACACCATGGGTCATAGACGTTGCTCTTCATTCTATGGGGGACTGGGCGTCGCTTGCGTCCCTTCCCTCCAGGACTGCAGGATCCGAGGCCGGTGAACTATGCTGAGGACTCTGGCGCGGGGTGTGTGTGTGTGTGGCGGGGGATTCAGGCGACTTGGGTTCCCAGCGAGTCTATGAGCAGCCGCAGCTCCCAGGGCTCTCATTAGACTTGCAGCTGGGGAGGACGATCAGCTCAGCCTCTACTCCCTGACATAACGCGCCCTCATCCCACCAGSGAGTGCTCCCGATTTCCTTCTTGAGTCAAGCCTGATTGACACTCAAACCTCCCAAGGAYCCCACGAGTAGGGAAAACGACGCACCTGTCTCACTCACGAACATAGATGTAAAAGACCTACATTAAAATACTAACAGACGAAATGCAGCGCTAAAGGACCATGTATCAGGATTAAAACTGGGTATCCCAGTCCAGTTGGGTTTAGCATTACACGATCAATCATGTGTTGAGGGTGTACCAGAGCTTGCCTACTGGAGGTTCAGGTTTGATCCGCAGCACGGGGTTCACAATTGATAGATAACACAGGAAGATACTTCTGTGATATATCACATCAAGAGAAATATGAGCATCTGAGATGTTCTGGGAAAAGTTTAAGAAAATTCCGCATCCAAAAACAGTTTGCAAATTAAAAAAAAAAAAAAGATTCAGGTTAAAAAAATTCAACATCCATTCATGACTCTAAAGAAAACCTTAGGGGTTAGGGGCTGGGTTGTGGCTTAGAGGTAGAGGGCTCACCTAGCATGCGTGAGGCACTGGGATCCATTCTCAGCACCACATAAAATTTTAAAAATAAAGATATTGTGTCCACCTATAATTTAAAAATATATAAAAAAAGAAAACCTTAGGGGTGGGGGCTGGGGTTCAGTGGCAGAGCCCTCACCTAGCACATGTGACGTACTGGGTTTGAGTCTCAGCACCACATAAAAATTAAAAAATGAAGGTATTGTGTCCATTTACCTAAAAAATAAATTAAAAATTAAAAAAGAAAAGAAAACCAGGGTGAAAGCATTCCTTTAGGTTAGGAACAAGACAGAATGTGCCCATCATCTCTTCATGGCCACTTCTGTTCAACATTCCCAGGACTCAAGAATGCAGCATAAAAAAATAGTCGGATGGGTAGCTCAGTGGTAAAACATCCTGGGTTCAGTCTTCAGTACCAAAGGGGGAGGGAGTGCATCAAGACAAGAAAAAAGCCTGGGCAGTGGCACATGCCTGTAATCCCAACATGCTGGGAGGCTGAGGCAGGAGGATTGCAAATTCAAAGCCAGCCTCAGCAACTTAGTGAAGCCCTAAGCAAATCAGTGAGACCCTGTCTCTAAATAACAAAATAAATAAATAAAAAGAGCTGGGGATGTGGCCCAGTGGTTAAATGTCCCTGGATTCAAACCGCGGTACCCCCCCCCCAAAAAAAAAGTACAACAAGGTGAAACCTTTAAAACCTTGGAAGTTTACAATTCTATCCAACCCAAGTTCCCCTTTCTATATACAAATTAAAATATTCTCTCCATTTTGAAATGAAATTTTCAGATGATATAATCTGCCCACATACATTTTTAAATCAACCTAGTGCTCTAATTTTAAGCAAAATAAAATACATTAAGATAAAAATAATATACATTTTGAAGCMGGATTCAGCGGTGCAAACCTGTAATTCCAGCTACTCAGGAGGCTGAGGCAGGAGGATCACAAGTTCAAGCCTATCCTGGACAATTCAGTAAGACCATATTCCAAAAATAATTTTTTTTTAAAAAGCTGGGGGTGGATCTCAGTGGTAAAATGTTTGCCTAGCATGTGTGAGGCCCTGAATTCAATCCTCAGCCTTGCAAATTAACAACAGCAACATGCATTTTGATGTGTAAATTCTTGGGCTTAACAACAAAAAATCCCTGAAAATTTCCAAAACTCCCTCTAGGGGACATCATGCTTCCTTGAGATGTGTTGGTCTACATAAAAAATCTGCCTCCCTATTTGCAGGTAAATGATTGGAGCTGGAGAATATAATGCTAAGTGAAGTTAGCCAATCCCAAAAAGCCAAATGCCAAATGTCTTCTCTGATTTAAGGATGCTGATTCATAATGAGGATGGGCCAGCAGCATGGGAGGAATCTAGATAGAGCAAAGGAGAGGGAGGGGAAGCAAAGGGAAGGGAGGGGGCATGGGGGTAGGAAAGACAGTGGAATGAGACGGACATCATTACCCTAAGTACATGTATGAAAACAGGAATGGTGTGGCTCTACTTTGTGTACAATCAGAGACATTAAAAATTGTGCTCTATTTGTGTAATATGAATTGCATTCTGCTATCATATATAACAAATTAGAATAAATAAAATAAAATAATTTTTAAAAAATCTGCCTCACATACACAAAACACCAACAGAAATGGATTAAATTAGTAAGAAAGCATACCAAATTTTTCAAGTGAAAAAATCAATATACAGAAATCAACTTAATTTCTGTAAAGTAGCAACAAACAGGAAAATTCAATTTTTAAAAGTACCATCTGGAGCAACTCAGGTGGCTGAGGCAAGTTCAAAAGGAGCCTGGGCAATTTAGTGA